AGAAGTTGCTGCTGGGCAAGATGCCTAGAATTTTGTTGCGAACTTGCACACTCACAAGAAGAAAACGGCACAAGCGTAACATACTCATCCCATAATAGTTTCAACTTAGTAAAGTAAGTAAAAACATTGGAATCACCTTGAGAAATAGTAGCAATTTCTCGATGAAGGAAGAAAATTCTGGAGCCATTAACCTTATCAAAACACTCCTTTAAATCATTGCATACCGAAGCCACATTTGAAGCGAAAATGATTCCAGCCGAAAGCTCCTTACTCACAACGTTGAGAATCCAGGACAGTACGATGGCATTACACCTCTTCCACTGATAATGTAAATCAAGATCATAATTCTCCTTCTGACATGCACCATCAACAAAACCAAGCTTGTTTTTCACCAAGAGTGCAATTCTCATCGACCTGCTCCAAACGCTATAATTCTCCAACCCAACTAGTTGATGAGAAATTAAAGGAGTATTTGACGGATGCAAAAAGAGAGGATGATTGAAATCAACCAAAGTTGATTCACTCATCGGAGGCATTGTAGTAATGGAGATCGTCGAACAAAACCCTAGGAAGAAGCAATTTGGGGAAAAAGAGAAGAGAGAAAACTGCTTCAGAAATAAAAACGAGCCACAAGGCTTAGCAAGAAATGGGTCAAACAGAAAACCCAAAGGACAATGGCCTGGAAACTGATACCATGTTAAAAGAATAATGCCTCATTTATTTCATTTATTCATCCTTAATTTATAATACAACGTTTGTGCATTTATACAAGAATTGTAAACTAACTGCTTCTAACTACTGCTAACAAACCACCAACTAACTCCTAACTAACTAACATCTATTATCTCAGCAGTCCCGCCATTAAAAACTTTAGTTTTTGTTTTATTGTAGTGTCCTGTTCAAAATTTAACGTTAAATTTTAAAAAAAATAAAAGTTTAGGTATTAAAACGGACAAAACTGATAGATTAGATAGTAAATGTGTTAAGTTTTTTACGATGGATATTAAAATGAAATGAAAAATAAATGTTAGGTATTAATTTGAAAAAGATTAAAGTCTAAGTACTAAAATGGATCAAAACTAATAGTTTAGATATTAAATGTGTAGTTTACCCATAATTTAATAGTTCAATGATTGAAATAGATTTTTTTTCTTGACAACCATTCCAATAAAAATTTCCGATTTTGATAACCGAAGTACCCTAATGACCACTAGTGTAATTTATCATAAACTTTTTATCAAATTTAAATCTTAATTTTTATCAATATATTTATATCTTTTTAACTAATTAGATCAAACTATTTCTTTCATTCCAAATGACCATTTAAACTGAAAATTACACTAAAGAATTTACCAACTTTATTTAAAATTACCAGTTAATTTTAAAAATATATGTATAGAAAATTATAAATCATACACTTATTTTGTATTTGTGTACAAGAAATGGCACGCAAGCAGTTGCGAGGATTCTGCCACCACACTTGGCTTCCATCCACAATTTCCCCATAACAGTGATCACATCTTTATAATATACAATATATCCTCTATAAACAGCACTTTATCTTCAAGAACTCGTTTATTCCTCGTTAACCAGTTTGAGTAATAATATAAAATTATTGTTAAATAATTTGATTACGCTCAATTCAACGATAATAATTATAATCATTACTCAAACATTATAATTATACGAAATTTTAATTATTTGATGGTTTAGTTTTCTTAATACACGAAATTTAAAATCTCTCATACTTTTTTCGAGAATCTTATTTTTTTCTACTTCCAATTATTTAAATGGGTAAATTACATGTTTGGTAATTGAACTTTACTGTTTCTCCTCTTTCACTATTATACTTTTAATTTTTTTAACTTATTCACCGAACTTTGTAGATTGAATTTTTTTAGTTACTCTGTCGTAAAATAATTTAACATGGTTATGACATGGAAACTTACACCAAAACGACGTCATTTTGAATTCTTGAAAAATTAAACGACGTGTTTTGATTAAAATACGACCATGTCATAATGTCGTTAATTATTTAACTGCAGAGTGACAAAAAAATTCAATCTATAAAGTTCAGTAAGTAAGCTGAAAAAATTAAAAGTACAAAGAGTGAAATAAGAGAAAGAGTATAATTCAGTCACCAAACGTGTAATTTACCCTATTTAAATTTATCATCTTTTTTTTAACTTTTTCATGTTTTTAAGATTTCTACTTTTATTTTATCATGAAACACACTCACATGTGGTTTGGTAGTGGTGTGATATTAATTATTTTGGGTCCAATATCATAATAAAATGACGTAATTTCTTTTATGACGATAAGAAGCGTGGAGGAGTTCATCTCAACCCGGACATGATTTCCACGTTACTCATTAGCAAATAACCAAATTCAATTAGTAAATAACATGCTTTCTTGATTTGCTTCAACCTATTTTACTTTTCACGTTTTAATATCAAATAGGTAATGTGGTTTAAGTCTCTAATCGGAAGGTTAAATTTATTTTAATTTATTTTTAATTTAATAGATTTATTTTCCTCCAATCAGAGGGTGATTTGGAAGAAATAAACACACACTGTAAGGGTGGATAAAGAGAATTGAATCGAACACCATTGATCATTTGGTGGAATGGGAACATCCAAACCACTAAGCCAAGGAAGCAATTTGATATTTAATGGACAACAAATGTATATATCTTGTATTATAGTATGTAAATATTTTATATCTTAAATATATCTTTTATTTTTATTTTAACTTATTAAATATATTTTTTATTATTTTATCTTTATCATCATAAAAAATATATATTATTTAAAATATTTTAACTTTAAATATATTTAAATATTTTATACTTATTTTAAATTAAAAAATTCATATTCAAAATATATTTTAAGTTAAGATATTTAAATAAGATAAGAATAAAATATATTTAATTTAGAATAAGAATAAAATATATTGTTGAAAACATTTTGATGTTTCGATATAACAAATTAAGTATAAATGAATTTTAAGATTTTTACAAATGATTTTCTAAGTATATTCGATTTAATTACTCGAATATCAAATTATTACTCCAAGTCTTTCAAGATCAATTTCAAACCTTACTAAATGTGTAAAATTGTGTTTTATACTTAATATATTTTTGAAACAATTTTCACAAAGTATTTTGAACCAAAATCAAGCCTAAAATCAATTTTTCAAAGAAATGCACCGATGCACCAATCCATGCATCGATGCACCAATGAATAAATTGAACATCGAATGCATTGTATGCATCGATGCACTCAGGTTTCTATGAAAACATCAAATGCATTTGATGCATCGATGCACAAGACATGCATCGATGCACTCAGGCTATTTTGAAACATCGAATGCACTTCATGCATCGATGCACTCTTAGTGCACCGATGCACTAAGGGTCCAACGGTCAAAATATTTGAATTTTACACTTGATGCACCGATGCACCTTGTGTATGCATCGATGCACTGACGCTCCTAACTGATTTTATTAATTGTTATCACACTTAAACGGCTATATTGACTCCACTAATCATCCCCAACGTTCAGAATCAATTGAAGGAGTATTTAAACAAGCCTAGAAGCCATTGATCAACAACAAGAATCAAGAATCAAGAGAGAATCAAAGAGAAAGCATCAAACTCATTGCTTGAGTATTTCAAGACTATTTTTCATTCAATATTCATTTTGCTTTCAAGAACACTTCTTGTACTCAATTGTATTCATTCTTGAGTGTTTTTTCTTTATTCTAGAATTGTGCAAACAATCTACCTTGTGATGATTTCCTTGTAAGTTTGCAAATTTGTAATCTTCTCTTTGAGAAAGAGTGTTCTCAAGAATTGGGGTATATTCTTAAGGGAGTTGTAAGGTTATCTCTTTGGCCTCAAAAGAAATAACAAATTAGTGAATTTATTGGAAAATCCTTAGTGTGGATAGCTAAGGTAGTGGACGTAGACTTTGGTTGAGAAAGTCGAACCACTCTAAATCACTGTGCAATTACTTTCAATTTTCTACAAAAGCTTTCACTAAAATTTTAATTGCCAATTCACCCCCCTCTTGGCCGATTCCATCGATCGATTAACTCAACATATATTTTTAAGTGAAGATAAGAATAAAATATATTTTTATATAATTATACCAAAAAGTTAACTGATGAGTCATTCTTTCGGTTAAATTTTAATTGTCACGTCACATCCGCTGTTAAAAGTTAATGGTCAGCGACTTGATTGAACCATTTAAATAGTTTGATGGTATGTTTGATCAAATTGAAACATCAGTGTTCAAAATGATTTTTTTACCATAGTTAAGTGGTCACTTGTATAGTTTACCCTTAATATTAAAAAATCATCACTAATTACCATTAAAGTATACAAATGATCCTCCGACTATAGGATGATATTTTGTTGAGTCCTTTTACTATTAAAAGTTACAAAATGATCCTCCGACTATAGAGTGTTGATTTGTTTTGTCCATCGACTATTAAAAGTTACAAAATTGTCATCTGACTATTCGTTATGTTCAAAACTCATCGTTTTCCGTTAAAAATTGATAATTGTTTGAATTGAACGTTAATTTGTTGGTTGTGATAATCTCAAATAACTACCATATCTCAGTCATCATGTTAACATTCAGCTCAAACGATAGTCAATTTTTTAACAAAAAAGAAAGAGTTTGGAACATAATGAATAGTTGGGTGACCATTTTATAACTTTTAATAGTCGATGGACTCAACAAAGTAATATTCTATAGTCGGAGGATCATTTTATAACTTTTAATAATCAATGGACTTAATAAAGCAATATTCTATAGTCGAGGACCATTTGTGTACTTTATCCTTACGATTATTAATAACTAATTAGATTGTAATCTTATCTCAGTCCCCACACTTAAGCCCTCTTGATATAAAGCACTGTTCAACAATCCTTTGTAAATTAACAACATTGATGTTGTATTTTTCAACTCAATTAAGAGCTTTAAATCCTTAAATGGCTTCCTCCCTTCTTTCGTTAACTCCATCTTTCTTTGGTAAAACACCCAAGGTTGCACCATTAATCTCTCAAAGATGCAGAGGGAGTGTCGCATATATTGCCAGTACCAAAATTTTCGGTTCATCGACCAGTAGGAGGTCAGGGAACTATCAGCCTTGCTTTTGGAACGATGATGATCTGCAGTTGTTGAGCGGCGATTATAAGGTATAGTTATCATTATCATTGTCTTCGTTAACTAACTTATATATACGTCAGTTCTGTCGTTGTCGGTGAATTAGACGATGACATATCGATTGAAATTCCAGGGCCATGAGTATGCAAAGCAAGTCGAAGTGCTGAAAAGAAAAGTGAAGACTATTTTGAACGATATTGTGGAACATGATCAGCTATTGGATCAACTCAAGATGATCGACAGCTTGCAGAGGCTTGGAGTAGCATATCATTTTGATGATGAGATTAACATGATGTTACTGAACATATATCAGAACAGTGACAATCAAATGAGAAAGGAAAATTTGTATGCAGCAGCTTTGGAATTTAGGCTCCTCAAGGAATATGGATATCATTCATCTCCGGGTACGAATGATTCCGTAATTTATGATGAAATTCTTGTTTGGGGTGTTTTTAATAATTGGTTTTGATCCGTTGCAGAAATTTTCAACTGTTTTCGGGATGATAGAGGAAGATTCAGGCCATCTCTATGTAAGGATATCATGGCAATGCTGAGCTTGTATGAAGCTTCATACTACTGTTTCGAAGGAGAAAGCATAATGGAGGCAGCTTGGCACTTTACGTCTGAAAATCTCGGATATGTGAAGGATGACATCAATCCTATTCTCGCCTTCTAGTCCGGCATGCCATATTACAGTGTAGAATGCCAAGGTTGGAAGCAAGATGGTACATCAATGTATATGAAAGAAGATCGGACTCGAACCCGATTGTATTAGAGCTAGAAAAGTTGGACTTCAATGTTTTACAAGCAATGCACCAAGAAGAACTCAAGGATATGTCAAGGTAAAGGAATCATATATATACACGTAATAAAATATTTAGTAATTGGTTTTCATGTACTTGAATTTTATTGCAAAAGGTGGTGGAAGAACACTGGTCTTGGAGAGAAATTGAGCTTTGCCATGAATACATTGGTGGAATCCTTCTTATGGACAATGGGGATAGCTTTCAAACCCGAGTTCAGAAGCTGCCGGAAAACACTTACGAAGGCCATTGCACTAATCACAGTGATAGACGATATTTACGATGTGTATGGTACATTGGAAGAACTTCAGTTCTTCACCGATGCTGTTGAGAGGTTGGCGGGAAATCAGAATCTCTTGCACATGCCTTGTTACTTTCCCAAGAGAGGATTAATCGATCTCTTGTCTATTATCTTCATGTTTCAGGCAGGATATTAAGGCAATGATACAACTCCCGGACTATATGAAGATATGCTTCCTTGCACTTTACAACACGGTTAACGAAATGACTTATGACATCCTCAAAGAGCAAGGTCACAACGTCGTATCGAATCTTAAAAAGGGGGTAATGTATCATCTCTCATGAATTCCATCTGATTTAAGACATTGTAACTGGTTATTATAACTCTTCTTCTGCTCTGGCTATGGCTTCAGTGGGTTGATTTACTGAGATCCTACATGTTGGAGGCAAGATGGTACCACAGTGCATATACACCAACTTTTGAAGAGTATATGGAAAATGCCTGGATATCAATAACAGGCACTTTAATAGCAACTCAAGCAAGTCTATTTGTAACAAATAAGATAAACGAGAAGGAACTCGAATTCCTCGAAAGCTACCCTGAGTTATTACATTGGTCATCTGTGGTTTTCGACTTCAAGATGATTTCGGAACTTCACCGGTACAAAACCGACCGAACTGTAGAGCTCTTATCAGATGAACTTTGAATTCCATTAACTGATCACATTTCACTTTGATTTCAGGATGAGTTGAAGAGAGGCGATGTTTCAAAATCGATCCAATGCTACATGCACGGAAACGGAGTCCCGGAGGAATCTGCCCGGAAACATATAAAGAATCTAATAAGATAGACATGGAAGAAGGTGAATATACACCGAGCTACTGTGTCCCCATTATATCCCAAAGTGTCATTGGAATTATATCCCATTGTATTTATCAACACGGAGATGGACATGGTTCTCAAAACCACAAGACCAAACATCATGCAATGTAATTGCTTTTTTATCCCATTCCTTTGTAGAAGAGTAAACTAGCCACTTCTCACTGTGGTTGTTGCAGCAAAGATGAATGTAGAACTGGAATAAAACTAGCAAAAACTGGGAATCACTTAAGAAAAAGGAAGGACGACATTGCAATTGATTTGATGTACCAATTGTTCTAAAATTTGTTTTAAATTGAAAAAACAAAAACAGATCTTCAGCATGAAATCATGAGGTCATACAGCACAAATACAATCACTGACATCCTGAAATCATTTAGGCAATCACAGGTAAAACAACAGGCTCCGGTTCTCTTAAAATTTAGTAACCGTTTATTCGAGGCCTTGGAGTTGGACCCATCAGCCGAGAAAAGGGCATTTGGGCATGGCCAGGAAGAACCCTTTGCCCGGCATGTTGATCATCTGTTTTCTGATCTGAGAATGGCTTGGAAAAGGCTTGAGCAAGATCCAATGCTGATGCTGCTTTTCCATAGCGCACACCAGCAGCCACGGCACCAGCAGACACGGGAGAGACAGGCTTAGGCTGGTCGGCAGGCTTACGCCAGGTTTCAGGTGACGGTTGCCTCTCCTGCTGCTGCAGCCGCCGTGGCTGCTGCTGTCTTTCGGTCTCCCTTTCATTCTGCCGATTTTCATTACGCCAGTTCCTCCTTTGCATATCAACTCTTTCATTGTGAACATGGTTCCTCTCGGATTTTCTTCCAGTTTTCTGAACAGGAGGATTCCCAACTCTTTCACCATGGCGAGCAGCAGGTTGCTCAGCAACTTTTTCACTTCTTGGAACATTATGTTTGACCCTTCACATAACAATAACGATTAATGAAAACATGGTACGTTAAATTCAAGTCAACTGGTGAACAAACCCGATAAGCAATAAGGGGAAGAAGTTCCACATTGGTATGAGATACAAGAAACCACTACCTATCAGGATGTTGGCCTGGCTCATGGCTGCTGTCATCAATCCCTCTCTCCTTCAGGACCTTTGAAACAGAACAGCAACGAGGTCAGCTCTTATGATGAAAACCACATTAACAATAATAATAAGTGTGAAGCTATAATAATAAATCAAATTATGTTGACATCAAAAAGATATTGATGGGAAAAATCATTAAAACAATCCAATAAGAAGACAGTAGAGATTCACTCACCAGTTCTCGTGGGCGAGCACCACCAAATAACGCATTTCTGCATCAGTAACACTTAGCGAATAAATACCCATAAACCTAAAGTGACAATTTTTTCCAGAAAAATAAAATAAAACAAAGCACCCTCATCCGACAATACGGTAGATGTCGATAGGGCATGCAAAGAATAGATTGTAGCCAAATATGATAATGATACACAAGATGCAACTATCATTCAAATTAAGTAATGATAGATTACTTGTGCATGGAAATGTGACAAATAGGTGACAAACAAAATTTAAGAAAATCATTCAGTTTTCCGTTGCCATTTGCTTCATAAATAATCAAATGTAAATCAATGATTCACAGTTAAATTACTGCCCCAAATCATGATGTAATGGCTAAACTCAAATCCCTATTTAGTACTACGAGTCTATTATCCAAATTTTCCCCAAAGAAATTACTTCAATTTTCTAATGCATTATTTTTGTCACTTAAATATCTTAATCCTGTCTCTAATCATCATTAAATTAATGATTATATAATAAAAAAATACACATCTATAAGACACTCATATAGAGCAATTTAAAATATAGACACATACTAACCTTTCCTTCTCAAAGTTACCCTCCAGTTGTTCATTGGGCTGTGAACGAGGCTTTAAATTCAGTTTAGGACGGTCCACTGTCTGGTTCCCATTCTCACTGCCAGCTGAACCAGGTTTTGAAGTATTCACATATCCATATGAATTATTACCAATTCCAGTATGATCAATAACAGATTCACTTGGCCACTGCTGCCCCTTTTACAAGAAAATAATCAGAATTAGGAGAGAACTGCATGATTGAATACTATGGCATCACATCAAATACCTGATTGGCATCAACAAAAGGTGATTCTAGATTATCCAATGGCTTGGTGCAAGGAAGTAACTTCAACTTGGGCCGCTCGGATGCTTCAGACAGCACTGTCAACGATGGCTGTGACTTAGAACTGCCAAATTTGACATTTGCACGAGTTGATTGAGTTCTTTCACCATAAATTAAATATTTATTTTCTTTAACTTCCAAATAGTTAGGAGTGTGGTTCCTCTCATAGTCTGGTAATGCCTTTCTACCACCCTGAATTCCATCTTCAATGTTCATTCCTTTTTCAACTTGCCTTGCCAACGTCACATCAGAATACTCCCTCCCGGTCACAGCATTCATTCTGCTGTATATCTTATCATCATAAGCCTGGGGATGCAAGACATTTTCTGTTTCCGAGTGTTTACTAACATCAACATCTTTCTGATATAGAACAGATTGCTTTGACTGCCATCTACCTGAGGACACTTTGTCAATAGCACTAGCATGAGCCAACTTCAAGACAGCACTTTGTTCAGCACTAGCAACACTCACTGCCACCTCCTTCCTAGCTGCCCATGCATTAGGATACGGCCCAGAAGTAGCCGGCCTATGATTCCCCCCAGAATTGAGAGAACTCATGCCAAAAGCAGCAGCCTCAGACATTTTACTAGAGTAGAGATTCCCCGAGCCACTCGACAATGGAGCTACCGGAGCTGAGCCATGTCGCCCTGAAAACCTCCCAGCATGACCAGACTCAGGCTTCTGCTCTAGACGGCTAGCTGGAACCCCTAAACTCTCATCGGTAACAATTCTACGCGGGGCAGAACCCCCAACCAACGGCTTCCTTTCATCCTCATCAAAATAACGACCAATATGAACTGAGCTGGTAAGAAATGGAGTTTTATCATCAAAATGCCTAGTCGCAGGTGACGAATTCCGCCAGGCACGATGATCAGGCCGCCCAACCGGGTTTCCCCACGACGTAGCTCTATCAAAACCCGAACGATCGGTAGGCCTATCAATCCTTCACTCAAAAAATCCAATATTAAAAAACTAGGGTTTCACTAGAAGATCCAAAGGGTTTTCAGATCTAATAAGAAACAATACAATTTCAAAATTTTGGATAACACCCAGCAAAGTATACATCATAAACAAAAAGAAAGAAACAGAATCAGATTTAAATGAAATTTGAAATTTGGGAACTTACACGCCAGGGGAAGAAGGGAGAGGAAGATCAGATGGTATAGAACCGCCATGAAAATCTTTCAAAGTCATCGTACTGCCACTGAAAGCTTTCTTCTTTGACATCTTCTCCCTTTATTCCTTTGTCTCCCCAAGAACAAGAATAAAAAAAAATCCCCCCGCTTGCCCTCTTTCACTCCAGAAATCTTTATGAATTAAAAAACTGTACAAGCAAGTAAATATATATTAAAGACAGTAAGAGGAACCCCCGATTTATTGAAGCCGGAAAGAATAGGTAAAAAGAGGGGGGAATATAGAAGAACGGAGAAGAGGAGGGGGTTGCCTCTTACAATAAGTTTTCTCTACTATAAAAACAACAAAAGCAAATCTCTCTCTGTCTCTCTCGAGTATGTTCTATGGTTGTACGCGGCTTCTTCAGCTTCTTCGTCTTCGTGGATCGATCACTTATTAGGCATCCAACCAGGGCTTGAGCCATTAAATTACGAGCTTAAACAGTCAAATCTTGAGGTTAAACAAAGCCTGTAATGTTTTGGGCCAAATATTATTTCGAATGTGAAATAGTTGTAATCATAGAGCCTAGTCTTTTTCAACTATTATTCAATGGATCCAACGGTTAATTTTTTTTCAAAAAATATTTATTTTTAATTGAAAAAATAACCTCAGTGACCAAAAATGACTTATAATATACGATTTTAACCAACTTTTTTGGATTTGCCAAAATGACCAACTAAATCGCAATGCGATCGATAATTCGCAACGCGATCTCCGGTATCGCAAATCAGTTTCCAGATTCGAAACGCGATTCTAACTATCGCATTGCGATTTTCCAAATTCACGTTGCGATTTTTCTAATTCGCGTTGCGATTTTTCTAATTCGCAATGCGAATACGTAAATCGCAATGCGAATCTGACTATCGCAATGCGATTTACATAGCGCCATATGTATCCAACGCGTATTTTTTTTTCAAATTCCAAACACGAATATATTAATATATCAGAACACTGAACCATCCACAGTATATCCCGTAATCGCAACTCATAACCTAAAACCCTAAATTACAACTCAGCCTCATCTTCATCTCTCACTCTCTAAGGCGACATCCGTCCCCATCTCCGACGAAATCAGTCCCCATCTCCGACGATATCAGTCTCCATCTCCGGCAAAATCATTCACGGTCAGAAATGGAAAATCAACCAAATCAACCACCGATGGTTAGTTTTTTTAATTATTTTTATTTTGAAATTTTTGCATTATTATTAGGTTTTTCATATTGAAATTGATGATAAGTTTACTGGTGTTTTCAATAATAGATTAACCATTTCACTTAGATTGCTTATTAAATTCATTCGATTGCTGCCAATACTGCTAAACTGTTTAGTCTTTAACCCTGTGAAGTTAGTATTTGTCTTTGTTTTGTCTTTTGGTTGAAGTAATGCAATCCATTCAAGTTTCTTTCAATTTTAGTATTTGAAACCGAGAATGACTATCGCAATGCGATTCTGTCGTTGCGATTTTCATTTCGCGTTGCGATTCTTGCGTTGCGATAGTCAAATTCGCGTTGTGATAGTCATTTTCGTGTTGCGATTTTCATTTCGCGTTGCGATTCTTGCGCTGTGATAGTCAAATTCGCGTTGCGATAGTCATTTTCGTGTTGCGATTTTCATTTTCGTGTTGCGGTTTTAAGTTTCAGAAACTATTCTTCTTCTGCAAATTGAAACTTGAATGAATTGCATTACTTCAACCAAAAAACAAAGACAAATACTAAATTCACAGTGTTGCAAATTTAAGTTTGAAGAATAAACTACTACTCTTTATTTTTATTGTTCTTGTTATATCTTCACAGTGTAGTTTTTGGTATACCTAACTTGGTATGTTTATTATTTTTGAAGAACTTTTATTCGGCTCAATTGACCTTAAGAAATAAAGTAAGCTTGGCCAAAACAATTGCGTCGAAGCTTTCACCTGCACAAAGAAAAATATTTGAGGATACTTGCTTCGGGCCATGGCTGAAAGTACAACATCCGGGTGGAGATGCTATGTTGACCCATCTGTTTCTTCAAACCATGACTAGCGATCTACCAGAGACCATACAACGTCATGATGAAGAGATATGGTTTGATTTTCCACCGGCGTATACGTGTTTTGGGCGGGAGGAGTTTTGCTTAATCACCGGTCTACGCTTCGGACACGATGATGTAGATCGGTACACTAGACATATTACCCGCTTATCATGGTTTTCCCGGGTTTTTCCTGAGCTGTCGAATTTACACGTGGAAGACTTGACGAGATTATTGAATAAGAAAGATGGTTTTACTCGGATGGATGACGTCGATGTTGTCCGAGTATGCCTTCTAATACTTTTGCAACCCGACTTTTTAGGCAGAGAGGCCCGACAACCTATTCCTAATGATCTAATTAAATTGGTAGAGGACCTAAATGCATGGAACCTGTTTCCGTGGGGTTCGTATCTATGGAAAGCTACATGGAATAAGTTGTCGTCTGCCTTTGATGATCGGAAAAGTTTGCGTGGCGATGGTTCCAAATACACTTTGTCAGGCTTTATTTGGGCCTTGAAGGTAATAATTTTTATATAATGTTTCCAAAATTATAATTAATTCTTTAACAATTACTAATGTTTGTTATTATATTGTTTGTAGATTTGGATATTTGAGGCCTTTCCCGCCATGCAGACATATGCATTAAAAACTTCTAATGATATTCCTAGGGCTATTTCCTGGAAGAGGAAACGGTCCTTGCAGCAATGGGAAGATTTACTACCGTATACTACAATAAATAATGTAAGTTAACACAAATACTACCATATGTTTTTAAACAAGTTATTACTAGTACACGTTTAACTTTGTTTGAGCTTTTATATTGTTAGGAGGCCAACACTCCATTACAGAGGTTGACACCCACGGAAGCTGAGCTTGCCACTGATTAGTGGCAAGCTAGTAAGCGTTTTTTTGATGGCACTGATGATGAGCAGCCACCACTTCGAGAGCCATCACCTCACCCAGAGCCATCACCTGATCGACCCGAATATACACCTCCATAACGAGAGTCATCACCTATTCTGTCACATCATCGAGCCTCTTCTCCACCATCACCTCATGATAGGCGACCGGCAAAGATGTCACGACGTTTATCTCCCTGTTCTCCACCTCCACAGGATGAGTTAGGGGAGTTACGTAATGAGGTCAATGCCTTGCGTGAGGAGGTCGGTACTTTACGTGATGACAATGGTGCATGGTGTGTTGAGGTGTCTACTTTACGTGGTAAGGTAGCAGCTCTACGTGAGATTGTAGCATCGTTGCAGAACGAGGTTTATACTCTACGCAAAGAGGTAAGTTTAATATTTTTCATATTTAACTTGATGATAAATTTACTCGTAATTTCACTTAGATTGCTTAGTAAATTCATTCGGTTGCTGCCAATACTGTTTATTTTTAACCCTGTGAAGTTAGTATTTGTTTTTGGTTGTCTTTTGGTTGAAGTAATGCAATCCATTCAAGTTTCAATTTACAGAAGAAGAATAGTTTACTATCGCAATGCGAAAATGACTATCGCAACGAGAAAATCGCAACAACAAAATCGCAACGTGAAAATGACTATCGCAATGCGAAAATGACTATCGCAATGCGAATTTGACTATCGCAACGAAAGAATCGCAATGCGAAATGAAAATCGCATTTCGATTCTCTCGTTGCGATGGTCAAATTCGCATTGCGATAGTCATTTTCGCGTTGCGATAGTCATTTTCGCGCATTGCGATTCTCTCGTTGCGATAGTCAAATTCGCATTGCGATAGTCAAATTCGCATTGCGATAGTCATTTTCACGTTGCGATAGTCATTTTTGCGTTGCTAATTTTAAGTTTCAGATTTTATTCTTCTTCTGCAAATTGAAACTTGAATGAATTGCATTACTTCAACCAAAAGACAAATACTAACTTCACAGTGTTGAAAATTTAAGTTTCAAGAATAAACTACTACTTTTTATGTTGTCATTGAACCTGCATTAAACCTATATGTTATCCTTTTAAATGTTTAAATAAGTGCTTACTTCTGGAATGTTATCTGATGCATTTTATGAACAATGATATAATAATGACTTGGGAGAATACCGTGCAAGTTTGAAATATATTTGTCTTTGTTTTCACTGTTTAATATCATATCTGTTTATTTATTGATTTATGTATTAATTTATTTTTAGCGGCCCGCTAAGGTGGATGCTCTACGTCGGGTTTTTCTTGCAAGACGGAGTTCACGCATCAGACGGCGTGCACGTGTCATTACGTCTCCGTTCACCCCAATAGTGCGAAGAATTCGTAAGAAAAAGACCGACTCACCTATCATCATTCAAGAGGCCTCCCCTATCGTTCAAGAGGCCCCTATCATCCCTCAAGAGTCCCCTCCCACCGTTCAAGAGGCCACTGTCATCGTTGAAGAGGTCCCTCCCAACATTCTAGAGCCCGATTCACACAGCGTAATATATCGAATTATTGAGAAGCCCCCTCACGTGCCGGACATGATGGATGACTGTTGGCTTTCGTATAAGTTACCGGCCAGTACCATTCCGGCAGATGAAGTGGAGAGGAAACAACTACCGGAAACAATTCTGGATAATACCCTTTGGGCTAAGACCGCAGTTGATTTTTATCTACATGAGCAGAGCCAAGGGTGTTACGCTGACATATACAAACTCAACGATGATATGCATTTGTTGATTGAACGGTCTTGGTGGGGTGTATTATTAGGGGTTGAAGACAACGGCTATTTCGATGGGGAGGTAAGTCTTATATTTCTTCTTATATTTCAGTTTGATTAATTTTTTTAAAAATTTATGTAATTCACTAATATATGTCTTTTTTTGTAAAACAACATATTGATGCATGGGTGACACGTCTTCTAATTGTAAGGAAATTGAAGAAAAATATAAAAAAAACGTGATATACAATTATGTCGACGTCTTTTCACATAGTTCACTTGAAGAATCAACGACATGAATCATATGTGTTGGCTAATGGACAAGCTAAACTTTATCCTGCATGGTGGGAGGTCGATAAGGTTAGTATTTATTTGTTTAAATATTTTAAAGGTGTTCATAAATAAGTGCGCAATTTGAATTATTACATTTCGATGCAGATGTTTAATCATGTTTTGGAACGTACTCATTGGCCTCTCGTCGAGCTTCAGCTCCCATCCCTAAAGACAATAGTATATGACAACATGATAAATTACATATCATTGTCTGATTTGAGAGATATTATTAAGGGATGGAGCTCTCATTTGGCTAAATTCTTGGACGCAATTAATTATTGGACTAATTCTGGAAATAAGAAGCCAAAGAAGTTCAATGTTACAGTTATCAGAGACGAGACTGCGCCACAACAAACGAAGGAAGCCAGAGGGGATTGTGGTCCTCTCGTATGCATGTGCTTGGAGCGTTTGACGACAAGAAGTACACAGTTTCTACCTCCCACCGAT